TGGATAAACACTTTTCCACACCTGAATGTTTCCCTCCGTTGGGTTTGTCGGACCATAATACAGTTTTCTTAAAAACAACATTAAGAATCCCAAATCAGCATACTCGGAAAACTGTAACAATTCGTGATATGCGAGAAAGCAATAGGGCCCGCCTTGGTCGCTACTTTGCCTGCGTTGATTGGTCGTGTTTATATAGTCAAAATACCTGCGAAAACAAATCTAAATTCTTTAATGATCTCTTCACGATTGGTTTGGAAAACATCTTACCCGAAAAATCGATAAAGATTTATCCCACAGACACCCCGTGGATGTCTGTAACGTTGAAGAAGTTAATACACCAGCGCCAGATCGCCTTCCACAAGAACAAAAACAGTTTATCATATAAGTTCTATCGTAATGCAGTAAATAAGGAAAGGAAAAGATGTAAAGCAGCGTATTACGCCTCTAAGGTGAAAGACCTTGAAGGAGTCAACCAACGAAAGTGGTGGGATGAAATCAACAAGTTAAGCGAATCCAAAAAGTAAAAATTCAAATTTGCAATGTTCCCTCAACATCCCCGAATACAATGACAAGACAAACCCAGAAATCGCCAATGCCATCAACGAAGCTCTGTTAGATCCCCTGCAAGTTTTAAAACCTCTCAATCCTGAATCCGCAGATGTATTTTTACCGTTGGAAGAAAATCCTGAATTCCTCGAAGTACCAGCTTATCGAGTGTATAATAATTTGATACACCTGAATAAAAAAAAGCCTCTGGTCCTGATGGTGTATCAAACTGGATGCTGAAAGACTATGCCGAGTTCCTAGCGCAGCCAATTGCGGATATAATAAACGCCTCGTACAAAGAACAAAAACTACCAAAAACTTGGAAACTGGCAGATATTACACCTCTCCCCAAAGTAAAGCAAGTTACTGACCCAAAGAAAGAGCTACGACCTATCTCTCTGACTTCTGCAGTTTCTAAAATTGCAGAAGACTTTGTAGTTTCAGACTATATTAGACCAGCTTTAGAGAAGAAAGTAGATCGTAATCAATTTGGCACCGTCTCTGGTTCTTCCACTACGTTAGCTCTGATAGGTATGGTGCATAACTGGCTCGAAGCTACAGACGGTAATGGATCTGCAGTACGGGTCATTTTGTTCGACTACCGTAAAGCGTTTGATCTCATAGATCATGGCATCCTAATCACCAAATTGAAAGAAATTGGTATACCAAACAGCATCAAAAATTGGATAATCGACTTCCTCTCAGATAGATCACAACGAGTGAAGCTTAGTAAGGACTGCCTATCAGACTGGGGCAAGATTTCCTCTGGTGTTCCCCAGGGTACCAAACTTGGACCCTGGTTATTCCTACTAATGATTGACGACTTGTCAGTTTCTGAAATTTTCAACATGTGGAAATATGTCGATGACACTAGCTACAGTATCGGAAACCATATCAAAGGGGCAACACAGCCATGTACAACAGGCAGTGGACCAAGTTAATGAATGGTCAAAGGAAAACTTGATGCAACTAAACAGTGAAAAGACAAAGGAACTGATCATAAGTTTTAGCCGACCCCATCCTCCACAATTCTAACCTAGTATTATAGACGAAAATCCCATTTTGAGGATAACCAAAGCAAAGTTACTCGGGTTAATGACTAAGGATAGACTGACATGGAACGATCATATTGAGGAACTAGTGAAGAAGAGTTCTCGGAAGCTGTATTTTTTAAAACAACTCAAGCGTACGCAAATACCATCAAACGATTTGGTTACATATTATTGTGCAGGCGTTAGATCTTCTTTGGATAGTATACCATAGCTCTCTACCAAGTTACCTACATGACGACCTGCAAAAGGTCCAAAAGAGAGCTTTAGCGTGCATTTTCCCAGGAATACCTTATTCTGATGCTTTGGTATTGGCGGAAATACCCCTATTAAAGACCACCACAGCACAATTACAAAGAAACTGTTCCAGTCCATATCAGAGAACCCAAAAAATAAAACCCATCGCCTGATTCCAAGTGCTATCAAAAATCCTAAATACAATCTTAGGAAAAATAGGAAATTTTCACTACAACTAGTAAGAACAAAAAGATTCTCGGACTCATATATTATGCGTGGTAGTACCAACACACTTTATGATTAGTGTAGATTATTATTAAAATCTCTAACAATATAGATTTTATAACTTTTAAAATAAGACTTTGACTCTTAAAGAAATTTTAGTTAGTAAAGTAGTTAAGTTGTAAATTTTTTGTAAAAGTTCCGCAATTCAGTGTAAAACTGCGAGGTAACTTATTAAATAATCAATCTATCTCTCTCTCTATCCGAAAAGAGAGTTTTGCTACTTAAGGTGAAAGTTCCGCTATTTGAAAAGGGAGTTCTGCTATTTGAAAAGAATGCTCCGCTATTTGACAAGGGAATTCTGCTATTTGAAAAGAATGCTCCGTTATTTGAAAAAGGATTTCTGCTATTTGAAAACAAATCCCGCTATTTCAAAAGGGAGTTCTGCTATTTGAAAAGAAAGTTCCGCTATTTGAAAAGGGAGTTCTGCTATTTGAAAAGAATGCTCCGCTATTTGAAAGGAGAGTTCTGCTATTTGAAAAGAGAGTTCTGCTACTTGAGGTGAAAGTTCCGCAATTTGAAAAGAGAGTTCTCCTACTTGAGGAGAAAGTTCCGCTATTTGAAAAGAGAGTTCTGCTACTTGAGGAGAAAGTTCCGCTATTTGAAAAGAGAGTTCTGCTACTTGAAGACAAAGTTCCGAAATTTGAAAAGGGAGTTCTGCTATTTGATAAGAATGCTCCGCCATTTGAAAAGAGAGTTCGGCTATTTCAAAAGAATGCTCCGCTATTTGAAAAGGGAATTCTGCTATTGGAAAAGAATGCTCCGTTATTTGAAAAAGGATTTCGGCTATTTGAAAACAAATCCCGCTATTTCAAAATGGAGTTCTGCTATTTGAAAAGAAAGTTCCGCCATTTGAAAAGGGAGTTCTGCTATTTGAAAAGAATGCTCCGCTATTAGACTTGCCACAAGTCGACCATGGGGGAGGAAGGGCGCGAGGGAGGGAACACGCGACCCGAGCGACGAAGTCGCGAGTGGTCGACTTGTGTCCCTTGCAGGAATTTAAATCGCATTAAAAATTTTGGCGCGAATAATTTTGACATAAAAGGAGTGTGTACATTTCATACCATTACTTCATCGCGCCGACAATGGGTCTACAAAAACACAAAAACATTCCCAAGAATTGATATTTCTTTGTCCTCGAATGAAACAGTTTGCACCGAGTGTGGAAACGAAATATTTAAACTGACACAAGTAAGCGCCGAAAGCTGTTCAATGTATCAACAAAAACGAGGGCATGTAAAAACTTATTGAATCTAGACAGTTGTTTTGTCTAACAATGTGTGCCGTAATTGTGCCGACAAGAATAGTAATTTCAATATTAGACTTATTAGAGAAAGTCGATTCAGTTCGCGAGCGATTCAATATTAGTACTAGAAGTTAATCTAATTGAAAAGAATCAGACAACTAGCTGTAACCGCGAAGCAGAGAGGCGGCGATTGTGATCAACGAGAAGACGTCGCCAGAGTTCAAAATCCGGTAAAAATACGCGTTGTATTCTCAACAAATGATTTTGTGTTAATAATCAGTAATCACGGGATCAAGAAACCCAAACTAACTCCAAAACTAGTGATTCGGTACGTGACAGTATTAATAAAGTTTATTTCGACACCCTGCACTTTTAAATATGGCCTACTCAATGTAATGCTTGTTTGTGTATTTTCACATGGTTTTTGTGTTCTACAAAATTGTAATTATATTGTTTACTCTAATTGCTTCAATAGTACACGTTTGTTCAACAAGAAAGCCTGAGAATATAATTTGTAATACAATAATAATGTAAACCGCTTCGGCAAATTGGCAATGTAAAATATGACGTCACCGGTGGATTTTTCCACCGGTGATATTTGGCGCGCTGCAAGTGACAAAAGTCCTTTCCACAGAGGAAGCGAAGCGCGCCATAGAAGGGTCTTGAAAGGACTTTGGAAAGTCTACTCCGCTATTTGAAAGGAGAGTTCTGCTATTTGAAAAGAATGCTCCGCTATTTGAAAAGGGAGTTCTACTATTTGAAAAGAGAGTTCTGCTACTTGAGGAGAAAGTTCCGCTATTTGAAAAGAGAGTTCTGCTACTTGAGGACAAAGTTCCGCAATTTGAAAAGGGAGTTCTGGTATTTGAAAAGAATGCTCCGCCATTTGAAAAGAGAGTTCTGCTATTTGATAAGAATGCTCCGCTAGTTGAAATGGGAGTTCCGCAATTTGCAAAGAGTGTCCTGCTACTTGAGGAGAAAGTTCCGCTGTTTGAAAAGGGAGTTCTGCTATTTGAAAAGAATGCTCCGCTATTTGAAGAGGGAGTTCTGCTATTTGAAAAGAATGCTCCGCTATTTGAAAAGGGAATTCTGCTATTTGAAAAGATAGTACCGCTATTTGAAAAGGGAGTTCTGCTATTTGAAAAGAATGCTTCCTATTTGAAAAGGGAGTTCTGCTATTTGAAAAGAATGCTCTGCTATTTGAAAAGAGACTTCTGCTATTTGAAAAGAAATTCCGCTGTTTGAAAAGGGGAGTTCTGCTATTCGAAAAGAAAGTTCCGCTATTTGAAAAGGGAGTTCTGCCATTTGAAAAGAATGCTCCGCTATTTGAAAAGGGAATTTTTGCTATTTGAAAAGAAATTCCGCTATTTGAAAATGGAGTTCTGCTATTTGAAAAGAATGGTCCGCTATTTGAAAAGGGGATTCTGCTATTTGAAAAGAGAGTTCTGCTACTTGAGGAGAAAGTTCCGCTATTTGAAAAGAGAGTTCTGCTACTTGAGGACAAAGTTTCGCAATTTGAAAAGGGAGTTCTGGTATTTGAAAAGGATGCTCCGCCATTTGAAAAGAGAGTTCTGCTTTTTGAAAAGAATGTCCTGCTACTTGAGGAGAAAGTTCCGCTGTTTGAAAAGGGAGTTCTGCTATTTGAAAAGAGTGTCCTGCTACTTGAGGAGAAAGTTCCGCTGTTTGAAAAAGAAGTTCTGCTATTTGAAAAGAATGCTCCGCTATTTGAAGAGGGAGTTCTGCTATTTGAAAAGAATGCTCCGCTATTTAAAAAGAGACTTCTGCTATTTGAAAAGAAATTCCGCTGTTTGAAAAGGGGAGTTCTGCTATTCGAAAAGAAAGTTTGCTATTTGAAAAGGGAGTTCTGCTATTTGAAAAGAATGCTCCGCTATTTGAAAAGGGAGTTCTGCAATTTGTATAGAAAGTTCCGGTATTTGAAATGGGAGTTCTGCTATTTGAAAAGAAGGCTCCGTTATTTGAAAAGGGAGGTCTGCCATTTGAAAAGAATGCTCCGCTATTTGAAGAGGGAGTTCTGCTATTTGAAAAGAAATTCCGCTACTTGAAAAGGGAGTTCTGCTATTTGAAAAGAAAG